CTATTCCACAAATATTTGCGGAGTACCTGGTCTGTGCCAGGCTCTGTATGAGATACCGGAGGATGAGACAGACCAAGTAACTTACATCCTGAGGGGCTTCGCCAGAGCTGCTGTGGCTCTACCACTCTAATTTGATTATTCTTAAGGCGAAGATCTTCTGGCCGGTCTCCTACCCAGAAGGATGTAAACTCAATCATGAACTTTATGTTCCTTAAATGGAGGTGTCTAGCCGTGCACAAACCAGGGATTTTTCTGATTCATACTCACCCAAAAATGTCCTAGGATGTTGACCTCAAACGTTTTGGTAATCTCCTCATCCTTGGTACTAAGAAGATCGGCTGGATATACTGCCCCAGCATTATTCACCACGATGGTCACATCACCCACTTCTTTCTTTATCTTTTGATATTAAAAGAACACATTCATACGGTGTGTTATAAAAACTCAAAGTTTGGGGTTGCTGTTATCCAGGGATTAAATTCTTTATTCGACTTGGGTGAGGTCTATCAGAGTTCAGGCAAGAAAGAACTTGTAGTCCAAACAGTGAATGCAGCAGAGGGAATGTTGTCATAAAGGTGGGATAAACTAGTTTATTACTTTATATCCAAATGTCAGTATCTAGTGCATCATGGATTTTGAAAGCTTATAAATAAAATGAAATTAATATCAATGCTGATTATAAGCTCTGACCAAACTTTTAAAATATTTTTTATTGTAGTGAAAGTATACGCACCAAAACATCTGCCAATACAACAACGTTCACATTTACAATTCAATGACGTTGATTACGTTTATCACGTTGTGTCACCATTATTGCTATCCTTTTCCAAAATATCCCAACACCTTCACATAAACTTAATACCCCCAAACACAAACTCTCCCTTTCTCTCTCCCTCCCATCCCTGGTAACCATTAATAATCCTTGGTTTCTATATATTTGCTTATTCAGATGAATGAGATTATACAGTATTTGCCCATTTGTGACTAACTTATTTCACTCAGCACGTTTTCAAGTTTCATCCATGTTGTGGCATGCATCAGAAATTTACTTCTCTTGACAGCTGCATAATATTCCATTATATGTATATACCACATTTTGTTTATCCATTCATCTGTTGATGGACATTTCAGTTGCTTACACATTTTGGCTATTGTGAAAAGCGCTGCAATGAACATTACGGTACAGGTTTCTGTTTGTGTTCCTGCCTTCACTTCTTCTAGGTATATGCCTAGGATTGGGATTGTTGGGTCATATGGTAATTCTATGTTCAACTTTTTAAGAAATTGACAAACTTTTTCACAGTGGCTACATCATTTTACATCCCCACCAGCAATGGATGAGGTCTCCAGTTGCTCCACCACCTCACCAACACCTAATGTTTCCTGGTTTTTTGATCATTGTCATTCTAATGGAGCCCTGGTGGCACAGTGGCTAAGAGTCTGGCTGCTAACCAAAAGGCTGGCAGTTTGAATCCATCAGCAGCTCCTTGGAAATCCTATGGGCAGTTCCACTGTGTTCTATAGGGTTGCTATGAGTTGGAATCAACTCCATGGCAACAGGTTTGATTCAGTCATTCTAAAGGGGATGAAGTGCTGTCTCACTGTAGTTTTGATTTGCATCTCCCTAATGGCTAACGGCTGCTGACCAAAAGGGGTACCCTGGTAGCGCAGTGCTTAAAAGCCAGAATCGACTCAGGCCACGGGTTTGGTTTTTTGGTAATGGTCAAAGAGTAGGAGGATTGGTGGTAAAATGATTAGCCATTAGAAAAATGCAAATTAAAACCACAATGAGATACCATCTCACCCGGCATTAGTGGCACGAATCAAAAAAACAGGAGATAATGTTGGAGGGACTGTGGGGAGATCGGAACTCTTATGCACTGCTGGTGGGAATGCAAAATGATACAACCATTTTGGAAACGATATGGCGCTTCCTTAGAAAGTTGGAAACAGAAATACTATATGATCCAGCAATCCCACTCCCAGCAGTATATCCTAGAGAAATAAGAGCCATCACTCGAACAGACATATGCACACCCATGTTCATGGCAGCATTGTTTACAATAGCAAAAAGATGGAAACAACTTAGATACATACCCATCAACAGATTAATGGATAAACAAACTATGGTACACACACACAATGGAGTATTACACAATGATAAAGAACAATGATGAATCTGCAAAGCATCTCATAACCTGGATGAATCTGGAGGGCATTTTGCTGAGTGAAATAAGTCAATCACCAACAGACAAATACTGTATGAGACCACTACTGTAAAACCTCATGAAAAAGTTTACACACAAAAAGAAACACTCTTTGATTGTTATGAGGGAGGGGAGGGGCAGGGATGGAAAAACACTAAATCGACAATAGATAAGTGATAACTTTGGTGAAGGGTAAGACAGTACACAGTACTGGGGAAGCCAGCACAACTTGTACAAGGCAAGGTCATGCAAGCCCCATAAACACATTCAAACTCCCT